ATCCCCCCCTTCTCCCTTAATAATACCCTTCTCCTATGGTCCTACCTCTTGAGCTCCTTCTTTCCCTTTATTCCCTAGGTTCCTTGTATACCCTTCCCTCTCCCCTCCGTTAAACTAACCCAATTTTTATCCATATCTCCCTTATTAAGGCCTGTTTCCTACTGTTCTTCTCTTTCAGGTTCTTTCTTTTCCTTTACCTCCCTGGTTCCTTTCCATTATCCTGGTTCCCATAGTTATGTCTGGATACATACTCACTCATCAGGGTTTGGTTCTAGGATCTACATATGAGGAAGAACATATTTGTTTCTCTATGTTACTTCACTTAGTATGACAGTTTCTAGTTCCATCCATTTACCTGCAACTTTCATCTTTCTTTACTGCTGAGTAAAACTCCATCATATAAATGAACGACATTTTCATTATCCACTCGTCAATTGAGGGACGCTTAGTTTGCTTCCATCTCTTAGCTATTGTGAAAACAGCTGCAACAAACATGGATGGACAAGTGTCTCTGCAATAGGATGAGTTCTTTGGGGATATAACAAGGAGTGGTATAACTGGGTCAAATGGTAGGTTCATTTGTGTTTTTTTAAGAGTTCTCCACACTGCTTTCCATAGGGGTTGAACAAGTTTGCAGCCCCACCAGCAGTGGATGAGTGTTCCCCTTTCCTCACATCCTCTCCAACACTTGGTATCATTTTTTCTCTTGATCTTAGCCAGTCTGACTGGGATAAGGTGAAATCTTAAAGTGGTTTTAATTTGTATTTCCCTAATTATTAGTGATGTTGACCACCTTTTAAGATGTTTCATAGCCAGCTATCTTGACTTCTTCTTTTGAGAACTCTCTGTTCATCTCCTTAGCCCATCTTTTAATTGGGCTACTTCTTGTCTCTGTTTTTTGAGCTCGTTATATATTCTGGATATTAAACCTCTGTCAGATGTATGGCTGGTGAAGATTTTCTCCCATTCTGTGGGTTTTCTGTTCACTTCCCTGGTTGCCTCCTTTGATGTACAGAAGCTTTTTAGTTTAATGAGGGCCCATTTGTCAATTCTTGCCTTGCTTCCTGAGGAGTTGATGTCTGGTTTAGAAAATCCTTTCCTACATCTATATCTTGTAGGTTTTTGCCAATGTTTTCTTCTAACAGTTTCAGAGTTTCAGGCTTTACATTGAAGTCTTTGATCCATTTGGAATTGACTTTTGTGCAAGGTGAAAGATAGGGGTTTAGTTTCATTCTTCTACAGGTGGAGATCCAGTTTTGCCAGCACCATTTGCTGAACACGCTGTCTTTCCTCCAGTGAATATTCTTGGCCCCTTTGTCATATATCAGGTGGCTGAAATTGCATTTACTCATATTTGGGTCTTTAATTTTGTTCCATTGATCTATGGGTCTATTTTTGTGCCAGTACCATGTTGTTTTTATGACTATAGCTCTGTAATACAGCTTAAAATCTGGTATAGTAATCTCCCCAGCATTGCTCTTAGTGCTCAGGGTTGCTTTGGCTATCCGAGGTCTTTTGTGTTTCCATATGAATCTTAGGATGGTTTTTCCAATTCTGTGAAAAATGTCATGGGGATTTTGATTGGCATTGCATTGAATCTATAAACGGCTTTTGGTAGGATGGTCATTTTCACAATATTAATTCTTCCAGTCCATGAGCATGGGAGGTCCTTCCATCTTCTGATGTCTTCCTCAATCTCTTTCTTTAACGATTTAAAATATTCATTGTAGAGGTCTTTAATGTCTTAGGTCAGGTTTATTCTGAGATATTTTTCTTTTGCAGCTATTGTGAAGGGGAGTGTTTCCATGTGCTCTTTCTCTGATTGCTTGTTATTGGTATGTAGAAAGGCTACAGACTTTTGTAGGTTAATTTTGTAACTTGCCACTTTACTGAACGTGTTAATAAGTTCTAGGTGCTTTCTGGTGGGATTTTTGGTATCTCTTAGATATAATATATCTGCAAAAGGGATAATTTGATCTCTTTTCCAATTATTACTCCTTTAATTTCCTGCTCTTATCTTACTGCTCTTGCAAGAGTTTCAAGCACTATGTTAAAGAGAAATGGAGATAGTGGACATCCTTGTCTGGTTCCTAATTTCAATGGGAATGCTTCCAGTTTTTCACCATTTAGAATGATGTTGGCTGTGGGTTTGTTATATATGGCTTTAATTATGTTGAGGTATGTTCCCTCAAG